GTTTCAGAAGCTTGTTTTTTTAAGAAACACAGGACAATCTTTTTTAAAAAAAAATCCTTCTATTCCCCTGTCCCCAAATAACCCGTCATTAAATACTAAAAACAAACAAAAACATGAAACAAGTGTGCAAGAAATGCCTGGTTCGTTGCTGATAATAATGCAAATGAAAGAGTACAAATTACATCACATCTGTGAGTTAGAGAAGCAGAGGTGGTCTGGGGGCAACTTTTGTTGTAAAGCACCACGTCCGTTCCCATCCTAACGGTACTCGCTGTCCCCCTCAGTCAGGAGACTTGCTGAGAACTCGCTCCGCAGAGGAAGAAGTATCATGAGAAACGCTCAGAAAGGATGGCCAGGGGGGCTTGGAAGGAAACATGCTTCTGTGACGCTTGGCGTTCGGAAAAGGCCCCTGAGGCGATGACAAGTGACAAGAGGAACTGCGGAAGCGCAGGTACACCGAGGCAGAGCTTCCGCGCAAGCGCGAGGGGCCGGGAACAGCAGGCGCTCGGGACCGTACAGCAGATGCTCACTGGAATAGAGTGCCATTGCAGCCAGCACGTGGCAGGTGAAGTAGCTACTTCTACAAACTGGCACGATAAGATTGCTGAAGAATCAAAATAAAACTTTTTTTTTTTCCCTCTTATCCAAAGTAGGCACACCACACGCCCTCCTTGCATTGCGCTACAACCCCAGTTAAATGCCATCCACCGAGCGCTTCCTGGAGTAGGTCTTTCCCGACAGTCTTGCATCTGCAGGAGGCACAAGGAATGAGCATGCTCAGCTAATCCATCGGTCACACAGCCCAGGGAGGCTGACCTGGACTCTGGTTCATTCTGGCACCGGGTCCCATGAAGCCACGTCAGGATGTCTTTGGTTTCTAGGCTGATAGATGAGAAAGGTGCACATGGGAACATCGGGAACAGGACAGGGAAGAACAGCGTGCGCATGGGTGCTGTCAGTAGTGCAGTATGCATGGTGCGCAAGTATCTGCTGCCTTCACCGAGCTCTCTGCGTTATGGCTGGTGCTGATACTGGCCCTCCGTTGCAGTAAAGAAATCCTCCAGAACGCTCTGTGCGTACTCAAAGGTAGGACGATCCTCTGGTTTAGTCTTCCAGCATCTCATCATAATGTCATACAGCTCTTCAGGGCAGTTCTCTGTGCGTGGCATCCGGTACCCGTGATCCAGGGCCCTGATCACCTCCACGCTTGACATCCCTAGAGAAACAGGGCAGGATAGGAGCCTGGGTGAACATTTCATGGGTTGTTTAAAAGGCAAACAACCAACATCCTACAGACATTGTCCAAAGAGTGTAAGAAAAGGACAGGTTAGACGAACAACGGGCAAGGGAAGGAAAAGTCATTATACTTTGGGGAAACAGGCAAACACCTGAGGTGCTGAGATATGTGTAGCATTAACAATCAGCTTGTATTCCAGCTGAGCAGATTAGATGGGAACTGTAATCATTTTGCAAAAAATTACAAAAAATAAAGGCCACACTTTTCTGTCTGCTGAGCTACTGGATGTGGATTTTTGTTTCCTCCCCCAATAACGAGCTATTCTTTCCAGTGTCACTCATAAAAATAAATTAGCAGAATTAAAGGAATAAAAACAGAAAAAAACAATTAAATAATAAAAAGGCAGAATTGGTCCTTCCCCAGCAACCCTTTAAGCCGCTCCAAGTCCTTCATCAATGATTCATGGTGATGTTTACTGTTCTTATACAGAGTCATTTCCCATTGAGGAAAGGCACCAGAGAGACAAATCAGTATAAAACACAGGGTGTTTGAGCCTTTCTAAAAACAGCTGGCTCAGCTTTTAGCCCTCAACTGATACGCTACTTCCAAACGTGCTTAATCTACAGGACGTGGAAGAACATGAGTTAGTGAAGACAGACCTTGGGATTTGATACCAGTTCTCCCAGTAACATGCTGCAGCTGGGGCAAGTCAATTATCCTCTCGTGTTGAAAAGCATGCTCTTCTATTTTAGAAACAGAGGGCCTGGATCTTTCAGAGATCCCGAGTGCTGCTGGTTTCCCATGGAGCTGGAGGAGCTTGGCCTCTCTTCTCTGTCAATCCCCCGGCAGCGTACAGGGTAGCTGCTCTCCTGCTGCAGAGCAGATGCACCCCGAAGTCTGAACTCACTGGGGTTCATTCCTGAGCTCCTCAAAGGAGAGCTCCCAGCTCTGCTCCCAGCTGAAAAGTACAGGGCCATGCTACATCGCACGTACATTTTCAGGTCAGTGAGAAGAGCTAGTGTCAACTGAGGAATCCCAGAGAGAGACACTTCCTAATTATCCATTCTGAGTGAGCATTTGTGCAAATGGTAGACGTAGCTGAATGAATTGTGCATACTGATCAGAGGCTGTTCTGGGCTCTGGGCTCCTCTCCATGACTCACTGAAACAACTGTCATCTTGAGATCTTGTGCTCTTGCTACTATCTTTGAGCACCACTCCCAGTGTAAGGTTCAAATTTCTCACCAATTTTGCTGTTTCCCTGCGCTCTGACTTCATGGAGAAACAGATCCCATGGATGGGGCCAAGAACACTACCCAGAAGGTGGAGCACATCTTTTGGAAGCAGATTTCAAGAGATATTTCACCTCCTTACCTGGGTATGGGATGCGCCCGTAGGTAATGATCTCAGTCAAGAGGATCCCAAAGGACCAGACGTCTGACTTGATAGTGAAAGATCCATAGTTGATGGCTTCTGGGGCGGTCCATTTAATGGGAAACTTGGCACCTGGACAAAGAGATCCAACAGGGAACATCAGTTATAACCCAAATACTGAGAAACTGGCAGTGAAATATGGGGAACAAGCAAAACAGGCAGCTATAAAGAGATGCAAATGAGAGTAGCTTCCACTCATCTATCTGTGCAGTATATCCCTCCCTGGGCCCTTGCCACAGAAGTTACACATTGGTGAATGGGTCTAAAGGGATGCCTAATGAGCTCAGGAAGTGCAGAGCAGCTCTCGGTACCTTCCCGGGCCGTGTACTCATCGTCCTCAATGATTCTGGCCAGTCCGAAGTCTGCAATCTTGCACACCAGTATTGCTGAGACTAAAATGTTGGCAGCTCTCAAGTCTCTGTGGATGTAGTTCCTCTTCTCAATAAAAGCCATTCCTTCTGCAATCTGTAAAAAGGGGAATAAGAAAAATGCAAAGGGTGTGTCTGAAATACCACGAAAACCCTAAAAGCAACTGCTTCTAGGAACTGACAGAGGTTAATTGCTTCTGGCAGCACATGGAGAGCGGGGTGAAAGGAGGCTGAATCATGGCTGGGCAGGGGCAATCACAGTAGGAAACCCAATTCACTCTCCTGCTCTCAGTACAGGGAACCCTTTGCAGAGAAAACCAGAATTTTGGATGACCAGGTGAACGCAACCCATTTGAGCTCATGCTCGGGAACGGCAGCAAGAACTGGTGTCCAAGGAGCTGGCATGCTCACGAACCAGTGTCTGTGGATGTCCACAAACGGAGGTATAACTCGTTCATCTGTAGCCATGCAAATGTGAAGAGACGCAAATTAGTCTCCATTAAGGGAAGACATGAGCACAGTCTCCAAATACATGAACAGCTCCTTCAGAGAAGCAGGGAATATATTATTCCGTCTCCCTACTAAGGGGACAACAAAGAGCAATGGGCTTTAGCTGCTGCAGCGAAGGGTCAGTCTGCATCAGGGAGCTTCCTCGGTGAGGACGGAAAAGCGCTGTGTGGGTCTCCCAAGGAGGGTGGGGAGTTGCCTGAGGTCTTCAAGGATACTTCATGTTGAGTCAGTGCTGCCCAGGGGCTGGACGGGGTGGGGGGTGAGCCCTGAAGACCTCCCCCAACTCTGTCTCTACTCTCAGCGACTGTAACATCATGTGCAGTTATTAACTCCTGACTGACGCAGAAGGGAACTAGTGTATGCACGACCACAACCCAAATCTGTGCCAAATTTTCACAAGTGCGGATGCTATCAGCATCTGGTGTCTAGTTTCGCATTGGCTCAGTGACCTTCTTCCAGCTCTTGATATGACAAGGTGGAGGAAACTATCTCTGGCGAGGCTGCCGGAGGCAAAGGCACGAGGAAGGAAGGAGCGCGCTGCTCGCCCCGGCCGCAGCGGGGAGCGAGCCCTGCCTGGAGGCACGTCCTCATGGGCGCGCAGGGCGCCCGACCCGAGGGCGAGGGTTTTAGGGGGACCCTGTCTGCGAAGGCGCAGGCACGGAACGGCTGAGCTGAGGACGGGGCCAGAGCAGAGATGCACTTCCCCCGTCAGGCCAGTGCAAGCTGGGCCAGAGCAAGGTGCAAATATTTACCCACAAAATACAGAAGTAAACACGCACCACAAGAACGGAAGGAGCATTTCCATGGCCGCACAAGCAGGCAGGCTTGCAATGACTCACCGCCGGCGCAGGCCTACGCGCTGGGCTCCCTGCCTGCACGCCTGCCGTCTGCACATGAAAGCACTCAGACTTGGCTTCTTGGCTCGAAAGAAGCTGGCCCCTTTGAGTTACAGAGCGTAGACAGACGGTTTGCAAGAGCCAGCTTGGCAGAAAAAAGTTGCGTGCGCAATGGCGTATCTGATGTGCATGCACACATCCCGTGACATGGCAGGCTCTGGTAGCCGGGGGAATACCTGGCGTAAGCCTTCGGGGCCTGGGCTCCAGCCCTAGCTTTGCTGTTGCTCAAGGCTTGAGCAGCTTATTATTTTGCAGAAGTACCGAGCTTAGCTCAAAGGGTCCCTGACTTTGGCCAGCGTCTCTGAAGCAGCACTGACGAGACAGGCGTTGCACAAATGATTGCACACACAACGCTAGGTGCGTAACAGCACACTCGGCTGTACTCAGAATAACTATCCCCAAATAAATATCCCCCAAAGTATCTTCACAGAGTCCTTCCTCCAGAGGCCTTCCAACAACCCACAACAGCCTTTTGGCAGGAAGATGATTTTAAACGTAGTTACTACCATAAACCCCGCATATGCTTTGCAGCAGGGTAAAATAACGCGCTTTCTAAAAACCATACCCAATCAGTTTGGCCTCTCATGTAGCGTGAGTGCAATAAAGCAGTCATGCGGTAGATTTCACATGAAGCACACAAAGCTTAGCGTCAAAGCCATAGGTGCCCTGACCGACTGCAGAACCAAGATGAGTTAAAATGCCGTATCATGGCATTATAGTTGATGCCGGGGTGGTGTCAGGTGGACCTGTTTCCTTGTGGGGTTTTGCTGAATTTGCACACCCGGCGCTATCACGCAGAATGCATTATTTGCAGATAGCTCTTGCAGTAGCAGCAATGGATAAAAAACAGTACTTTTTTTCCCTGCTGCTCCCCGGGGAGCTACGTGTTCAGA